GTGCGAGGCAGCTATGTGTGTGTGTGCTGCATTTTACATGTATATACTCTTATTCTGATCGGTCCTCACAGCAGCACTATGAAAGACATATGATTTCTTTTATACGATTTGCAGAGGAGAAAAGTGAGGCTCTAAAAGCCAAATGATACATCTGCTCTGCTGGCAAGCCAATAGCACATTTGGGATTCAAAAGAAAATTTCCTGACTCACTAAAGGAGTAAGCAAAAGAACAGCCAGATCTGGCCTGTGAGAGGGCAGACGTGTCTGAGCTCTGACCTGAGAGGTAGGGAGTTACAGAAGTGGGGAAAGGGAGTAAAAGGAGTAATTCTTTGAGGAAGTGTGGAAAATCTGACATGGGGTGAAACCGTAGAAATAAGAAGAGCCCACATTGCTCAGGGCCTTATGTTCATTTAAGGGCCAGTGGAAAACATTGAAAAATTTAAAGTGATAGAGAGAACAATTTAATTACCTTTTCTCAGAGGTCTCATGACCCAGAGAGAAGCAAAACCCTTACAAATGAATGAGGCTGATGCTGAATAGAGAATCAGAGAATGTTAATACTAGATGAGACTTCCAAAGCAATCTAATCAGACTCTTATGCACAGAGAAGTCTGAGGAAGGAAGTGACTCGTCCAAGGTCATGCACTGTGGGGCAGAACTGGCCCTACGGTGCCCTAACCTCCACCCAGAACTATTTCTGCTACATCACACCACCTCCTGCTCTCCTCCCTCCCCTCCCAATTTCACTCTGACAGCTGCCTGCTCAAAATAGACTATTGTTGAACTGATGAATGTTGATGCTGGTGGTTTATATGTCTAAGCCTTAGCTCAGTAGCATTGATGCACAGCTACCTCAGGAACCACAGCCTCAGCTGGCTAAGACCTTTGAAGTACAGGTGGTGAGTTTAACTAAAATCTTCTAAATGAGTAGTCAGCTGATTCTGACTGAATGCCAGGAGTAGTCTACCATAGAAATAACAGCATAAAAGTAAAATTGTTATATAACTGTACTTTCTTATCAGTGAGGGAAAAGAAGCCCCAATAATTCTAAGGTCTTGGAGAAAATAATATAATTCCAGACAAAGCTCCTCAGCCTGGTGCTCAGTTCTGCTTCTGATCATCCTGAAGATAGCAGAGCTTGGGGAGTGAGCCCCCAAAGGCTCACACGCGGCAGCAGTTGAATTGCAAATAGAAGCTGAGAAAATATTCTCCTCGACCTTCTGTTCAAACCTGAGAACACTGAGACTTGACCTACAATAGTACATTTTGACTGTCTTGGAATAAAATGAAAAATTCATAGACGTGAGAGAATGTTATCATTCCCTCAATCTTCTGATTTGAAACCTTTTTTATTTGATAGACTGCATTCAAATCAAGTTAGTGGCTGAGGATTCAGCACACAAGCCAAGAAGGTGAAACATATCACTTTCCAAGTCTCTTGATAAATAATGAGCCCTAGATAGGTTGGGATTAAAGGACTGCCTGAGAAAAGGGCAGTGCGCCCAGTCCAAATGTATGTGTTTGCATTGTGGGTAATCATAGGTCCTCACATGGGTGTTCTACCATGGAGCTTAAAAGTATTTTCATATTCGTAATCTCATCCAGTCTTCATGGACTTTCTGTGATGAAGGCATTGTAATCTTCAACCTAAAAGTGAGGAAACTGAGGTTCTGGAAAGTCACAGGATTTGCCCAGGGTTGTGCAGACAATAGTGCCAAAAAGGACTAAAAACTCAGTCCTCCATCATCTTGTTCAAGTCCAGAGTCTTCCTGTCCCAGCACAGCAGTGGACTTACTGACTTTGGGCAGGACAGTGAAACCCCCCATTAGTGTCCCCATTTGTTTTCAGCACTGAATTGGCTATAGCAATCAAAGTCTAGACCAAACAAAATAGATTGGATTAATTTTTAAGAATAACATAGGGACTGAAGACTCTAAATATCTAACTTTTTAATAAGTGGGCATATAGAATAAAATATAATTTCTAATTCTCAAAAAAATTACCAACCCATTTCTGGTAAACCACAGTTTTATTGATAATATAATGGGTTTACCATTGATGTCAATATTATTTATTAATAATAATGGGTTGGTAATATTACCAACCCATATCTTACATTTAAAGTAGACTTGACTTGAGCTGTGACTTGGGTCCTCACCCAAGTATAGCAGAAAGCAAGGTTTCCAATGGATAAATGGGAAGAAAGGAAATTTACTCCCTTTGGGTCAGTGTAGGATAACTAGAAATAGTTTTTACAACCTGTGAAAATTAGATGACTGTCAGTATGTAAAAATGGTGCAAGAGCTAAAAATGCTGAAAGCCTTTCTGGTCTGACCCACAGAATCTCTGAACAAGACAGCATGCTGATTTTTCTAGATACCTGAAAAGATGTTAAACCTGTTTGGTAATGCAAGAAACCACGTACATATAAAAATGTAAAAGTGGCCTGACATCTCAACCACCCAACCCAAGGCATACTCTGAAACTTTGTGTTTGAACCTTCTCACATCCCCTTCTGTGCCTCACTTCCCCATCGTTTAATGCTGCCCCCATTTCCAGGCACCACTATGATCCTTACAGTATAATCCTTCACAAAGTCTTCTTCAAGGTGATCCCTTAAATACTTCAAACATTTCTCTGTTCAATAATTAAGAGAGGTACTACCTATTGCTGGGATCTTAGCATCTAGTGGAGTCATTCATAATCTACGCATATATGTTTCCATGGTGAAGTTAAGGCTCTGTGACCAGCTGCAGCAAATGGAGGATCAGACGCATAGAGAGTGGCAATGCCTTCCCCAAATCTCTCAGATCTCAGAGAGCTTTTCCTACCTTCAATGTCAGACCTGCTAGCATTATAACACTTCTTAGAACTTCCTTCTAGAAAAGACCAAAGTCTACTGATTTCAGAATATAAGAAGTTTCACTTAAGAAGAACATTAGTGTTCTTAGTTAATTATTCCCCATGTTACTAGATGACCCTATAGGCAACCAAATTTTAGCCATAACACAATCCTCAGGACTTCCCAGCTAAGCTTGTTTGTTCTGGGTGGCTCATGCAGAATTTGTGCAGCTGACCCTTCCTTTTTAGAACTGCTTTATTTTTCAGCACCAAATCTTGTAAAGAACATTTAAGTGTGAAATGTATATTTCTCATTAATTTACAATATACAGTTTAAAAAGTCATAGGAAGTCATTGATGTCTTTTCTACCTCCCCTGTCATTTTCTACTCCTCTAACTTTACTTCCTCTTTCCCAGATGAGAGCCCATGATGAAACATTCAATCATTCTACATCAGTAGCCTCCTAATATTTTGCCACTTCTCTTTCCAATTCACTTGTTGTGATGACCCCTAAACTTGGATTAATCCAACAATCTGCTTTATCTTCTCCTACATCTAGGCTGCCAGACACTGGTAGAGGAAACCACACTGTATTTTGACCAAAATTCCAGGATATCAAAATGCAGGAAAGTGCTCAATGCCCCTCAGAACTCTGTGTGTGTGTGTATGTGTGGGCAGCCAGCATGGTCTCCCATCGTTCATACTGTGAGTCCCACATATTCTCTGTCATTCTCAAGTTTCTACCCTATTATATAAGCAAATAACCTTTCATCCAGCATGAGCTCCAAATACTTTCAACTTCTCATCCCAGATATTTAAATTTACCAGTATATATTACCATCTTTTTCCTTTCTATCTCGAAGGAAAATATAACTTTCCACCTTTTAAACTTTTGACTTAAGCTCCATTCTAACTCCATTCATTCAATCCATTGAGTCCATAATTATCAAAGAATTATTATGCTTGTGGCACTGTAGTAAGCAAAGCAGAGTCCCCACTCTGACATTTACTAAGAGTATAATCATGGACTAGTCTCCCCATGATTTCAATTATTCACCTATAAAAAGAGAAAGACATGCCATTGATTCAGGGTTTATATAGAAATAACAAAGAGTGAATATAGTACTCACTCGTGATCTTCATAATTATTGCATTGCTAACAGTGGTTGTGATAAAGGGTAGCACATCTTCTTTGTGAGATTCCACTGGGTACCATCCCGTGAATAGTAACACAGGCAGAAGATGGAAAAATGCCAGCAGTGGGGCAGTATGCAGTGCACGGCATGAAAAAACACCAAGACCAATTACGGCGCACCTGAACTCCAGCTCCCACCCTGGCCTTCTTCCCATCTCTGTGCCAGCAAACAATTTCAACTGTGGCTCATCTTTAGGAGCCAGAGTCTCAGCAAGAAACCCCAAAAGAGATGAAAAAGCTAAAGAGTCTAATTATTATATACATCATATATACACACACATATATGTAATTTGTTATTAATGCATTTACATGCAGAGTAGCAGAAAGATATTTTCACTTGCCATTGGCAGAAGGCCAGTTGGAAGGACAATCATTAACTCCTTGATAGCATTATATAATTCTAAATGTTCTCTTGTGGTACACGATCTAATTAGGATACCAATAGCTCCCATTTGGTGAATTTCTGTGCCAAGAACTGTGCTAGACATTTTACATACATTCTCATTAGGCTGTAAACCTCCATTTAGTTAGAAACGTTACCTCATCTTGCACAGGAGAAAATGGAGGCACAGAGAGATTAGGTAAGGTATCAGTGAATGAAGATCTTAGAAATGTTGGTGGTGGGATTCAAAACAGCGTCTAACCATTTGCAAAGCCTATGTCCTTTCCACCACAGTGTGCTGCCTCCACAGGATGTGTTCATGTCTTGCACTGTTGGCCTTTTTATAGAAACACTAAAGAAAGAATGGGGGCCATTCTTTCTTTGCTCGTTTATTTTTGTACTCCTCCCTAAGAAAAAACACACAATAGTACTCTCTTTGATATACATAGATATAGATGAATGGATGGATAGATAACTAGATAGGTATGCATATTTATACACAATTGCACTCTATAACTTTTAAAACCATCTTGTGGACTTTATTAGCACATGGTGTGTGCTCTGCTTGTGTCCTGGCCCAGGTGTGCAAAGCAGCTAGTTCACAATAACCTCCCGACCACCAGTGTCATCATGTGCTTTGTGGATGAGGTATGGTCCACTCTCCTGAGGTCTGTTCATAGTGTCCTCAATCGCTCTCCTCCTCATCTCATCAAGGAGATTCTGCTGGTGGATGACTTTAGCACCAAAGGTAAGAAAACCAGTCCTAAAAAATAAAGTTTGATATAAGACAGTTATATTTTGGATGGATGGCAACATTACAGGGTAATTTGAAAAAAACATACATATTTTATAAACACCAAATCACTGTTTCATTTGGTGCCTCACCAAGCATCTATGGGATACAGAAAGCCAGCTCTAACTAGCATCTAGGATCCCGTTTACTTGGCTTCCTCAAACTTCCTTTTAGCTGTGACTTCTCTATCATGTAGAAGCGATGTACACTACCAGATGTTCTCTACAATTGCACAAATATCTTTCCATGGGATCTAATAAGCAAATACCCCACAATTAATAGAATGCCTTTCTTATAACTAGAGAGCAGGTGGTAAACATAAGACCTGTGGGCCGAATCCAACCCTCTACCTTGTTTTATCTGGCCCGGCACCTTGTTTCTACCTGGCAGCACCACTGAGCTCCTTGCCCCTAGTCAGGAATAGTTACATTTATACAGTCCTAAAATTACACTCGGCCCTTTGAAGGCAACTGCGAGGCTAATGTGGCCCCCAGTGAAAACGAATTTGGCACTCCTGAACTTGAGTTAGACTTTACGGAAAACAAGGAAATGGAAGGCCAATGGCTTCTTCCTCAAGGGCAAAGCATATGTTTTCAGGTAAGTAGGTGTTCAGAAGACACATTTCCAATGGTATGAGAGAGACAAGGCTCTAACCATTCAAAAGCACAGTCCACCATGGTAGGGCTTTACCTCTGTTTTGTTTATTACAGAGCAGAATCTCTCTTTGGATGGTCAAAGAATTTGTGTATGTAAGTGGTCTCATGACTATCAGTGGTCTCATCACTGACACACTGTGCATTCCCAAAATGCAACCCACTTTTAGAAAATGATGAAGAGGTGACAAACCTTGATAGAACAGCTGAACCTTGATCATGACCACAGTGACAGCCAATTTCCTTCCTCAGTCTCAGAGTTCTGACCAGAATCACATGGAGCCACAGGAACAGTGAGTTGCCTAAGGAAAACTACTTGAAAACTTTAACAAAGCATAAATAGAAATAGTGTGTAGTTACTAAGCAGGTAATAATCTCTTTAGGAATGACATATACAAATTTTGTGGTACCTGAAGCTTCTATGGAGTCTCTTTAAGAAAAACAACATGACTTTAATAGGAATGTGAGTAGCAGAAGCCATTTCTCCCTGGAATATCTGTTAATAGTTCAATTACACTTAGAAGTGACAGCAAGACACATCAAAATACCTCATAAAACCAAACACACAAAAAAAAGTTTCTTTAGCTGGATCCATTTTTGGCCAGCCAACAAAACAGAGTGGGTATGACTGACTAGACAGGGATGTCACACTTAAGAAGTAACAGTGTTCTTAAACAATGACAGTTGTGCTATCTTGCTTTTGCAAATTTTTCAATTCGCATATAATGCTCAGTCTCTTCCCTGGGCTTTAGAGTGGACTTTTGTAAGGGGGAAGGGTTGTACAACTTTTATTAATTTCGAGATTAAAATTTCCCCCGTATTCAGAAAAGGTGAACCCGCCTCTGTGTGATTTGGCAGCACTAAAAAGAAGGACGTGGGATTTAAGATAACAGACAAAAATTCACCCGAGAGTATTGAATCCAGACAAAAATTCATCCAAGACAATCACATCAGAAAATAAAATCATGGCCCAAGGAATAAAATATTTTATTTATGACAGTATGGCTGGACCTAGGCCTAGAGGGTATTTGGCTAAGTAGAATAAGTCAGAGAGAAAAAGACAAATACCATATGATTTCACGTGTATGTGGTATCTAAAAACAAAACAAAATAAATGAGCAAACAAAACAGAAACAAACTCGTAGCTACAGAAAACAAATTGATGTTTGCCAGATGGGAGGAATGTTGGAAAATGGGTGAAAAATATGGAGGGATTAAGTACAAATTGCCAGTTATAAAAGTAGTCACAGGGATATAAAGTACAGCAGAGGGAATACAGTCAATAATATTGTACTAATGTACAATGTCAGATGGGTACCTGACTTATTGGGAGATCACTTTGTACATTACATAAATGTCTAATCACTATGGTTTACACATGATAATAATATTGTATGTCAATGGCAACTGAATTTTTTAAATTTAAATATTATAGTTTTTGGACTTTGATATTGAGGAAGCACTATTTCTGGTATTATCCAGATCTAGTTAAATGATTTCTTGTTACTCTTTAAACTTTCATTTAGATTACCTAAAAGATAATTTGGATAAGTACATGTCTCAATTTCCAAAAGTTCGGATTCTTCGCCTCAAAGAGAGACATGGCTTAATAAGAGCCAGACTGGCAGGGGCACAGAATGCAACAGGTGAGAAGCTGCTAATTGTTTTTGGTTGGTTATATTTTTGTTTTATTTTAACGTTCAAAAATTATACATTAAATGTAAAATAGTAGTATATATAGTGCATACCCAAATATCTGTCATTTTTTGCAATACGTGCTTCATCACACACATACACAGACATGTCTGCATATACACACCTTCTTTCCTGAACTTTGAAAAGGCACTTACGCTAAGTACCTTAGGAGGCATTTCTAAGAGACATTCTCTTATATAAGGAGAACTTTCATACCTACATATCACCTAATGAGTGCTCTTTTCAAATTTTCTCATTGCTCCCAAAATATTTTACATAGCTGTTCTTTCTTTTGATGTTTGAGGTGTAATTAAATTTTATGCACTGCATTTGGCTGTTTGATCTCCTTAGTCTGTCAATGGAAAAGAGACAATGCTGCCACACTGAACTGTTGTTTACTCCCATTGACTTGGGGTTTTTTTGAAGAGTATAGGCCATTTGTTTTGTATCATTAAACACATTCTAAAATTTCCTCTTTCCTCATGTTCCCTACAATATAAATATTTTTTGTATGAATACTACATAGAATTGAACTATATAGGTGATAGAAATTGTGCACTTATTGCTTCAAATCAAGATGCACATGATGTCAAGTTGCCCCACTGTTGGAGATACAAATTTAGAGCTCTTGGCTAAGGTATTGGCAGCTAGAGTTTTCCTTTGGTAGTGAGAAGTAAAAGGTAGAGTGGTGCTTTGATCCTTGCAAGGATCCTGTTTTCCTCGTAAGACTTTATCTAGTAGTTTAGCATTCAGTGATGATCAGTGCTTGAATCCTTGAATCAATTATTACACTGACCCACCAATTTATTTTTCTAATTCTATTATTTTGTCTTTTATTAACTGGCATTCACTTTTTAAAATAAGCAATTTCTCTCTCTATTCTCCTCCCTCCCTTCCTCCCTCCCTCCTTTCTCCTCCCCTCTCATGCCTCCATCACTATGTATATTGATATATAAATAATGTTATTATGTACTATATATGCACAATTTTATCCTATATATCACATATGCATATGTATATTTGTATATATAATATACATGTTATATATATATACACATCTATATAAAATTGTCCATAGATGATAATATTAATAAATTACTCTGGCAAACTACGCTAAAGTTTTAAAACACATGTTCTCAATTTCTGTTTCTATCTTCCTGTAGACAGCAAGGTTCATGGCCCACACTTTGAGTAGCATGAGCGAAGGGACAATGCCTGAGTTTGGAAGAAAACAGAAAGGTGTGTCTGGATGAAGTTAGTGACAGCCTTGTGTAAGGATATATCCAACTGCCTGAACCCCACAGAGAATTCAAGGGGATTCAGAATCCTGTATCAGCTTTAGCCAACGATATGATTCAAGTACCACCCAAGGACCAGCCTTGAGTGAAGATATTCAGCCTGTTGAGTCCCCCAGCCACCCCCACACCTTCCCCAGCCACCCCCCAACCTCACAAGTAGCACACAGGCAGGAGGCATCTCTGGATCTGAAGAGTCTCTGTAATCAGAGATCAGTGAAGATTTCAGGGCAGACATGTTCTCTAGAATGCCTTAGGTAAATGAAGAGATCAAAAGAGAACCTGAGTTCAGAATTTGACAGGTCTTGACACCTACTGTTCCCTATAGATTTACCCTTTGGGCAGAGGAGCCACGGGCAAGGATGAGGTTGGAGAGTCAAGGACCTGAAGAAACGGAAGTCAAGTGGCCCCTTTCAGTCTCGACTACCATCACTGTTAGGAATTGTGAAAGAGCCTTCTACAAAATAATAAGGGCAAAGCAGTGACACTCTGATCACTAGCAATGTCTGCTACACATTCAAGTTCCAGGGCTTGATAGGTTCATCATCCGAATCTGATTCAGGAAAAAAGATCAGATCCAGTCAGTTTTCTACTGGGAGTGAGGAGTTAGAGAGTCCAAGTACAATTTCAAAATGTAAAGGGCAGGCCATGGTCAATGAGTCTCTAGGGAAAGACCCCTATACACAAGCAACAGAAGTAAGAAGAGATGGGGTGGTTGAGGTCAAAGGAAATAAACCAACCAGCTGGTCGTGGCCTATTGCCCTGCCAGGAAGAGCCTGTAGTCAGGCAGGTTCAGTAGTACACTCCAGAGAGTCAGAGTAGAGATCAGACTTCCATGTCCTTCATGGTCTTCTTTAGCGACATACTTGACATTGCTGCTTGCAGTCCAAAGAATCAGTTGGCTAACTTTAAGAAGCAACGTCAGGTCTCCTGAAGAGAAGCAGTCCTGTGAATTTCCACAACTTGTTTCTGGTGAAGTCCAAACAGGTGATTTCCTTAGCATCACTTATAAATCATTATGTGAAATCAAATGGCCAGCCAGGTCCACATGCCTCCGGGAACCCTAAACACAGCTCTCCAGCACTAATTGGTGCTGGCAGCAATCTTTCAAGCTGGTCTGCTAAATATAAGTGGGTGTCCGTGCTCCAAAAGGAGCCAAAGCTGCTGGGCACATGGAGCAGCTGTGGACTGTCCAATAAATAAAGAAATAAGTTACAGTGAAACTCACATGCAAGCACTCCAACACTACTTGGACTTACTCCTAAGAAACAGCAACCTGCCAGGTGGCAATCAAGATCAAATTAATTATTCTAGGTGTAGTAAACACTCATTGAAAAAAATGTTAATAATACCATATATTAAGAATTTAGGTATTGGGTAGATCTTAGAAATATCCCCACAAAATAGAGCTCAAAGAAGTTAAAATTAATATATCTAATGTGGCTAAGAGCAGCAGCAGCACTGGGATAAAGGCAGTTCTGTGTAACTTTGATCCTATGTTCATTTCCCTCTGCCCTGCAGTCTCTCAGAGTCAGGAACAGTGTGTAAAATGTCCACTGACAATATCCAGGACAATTAGAAATCCCACCCAAGGTAGCTACACAGCTCCTTGTTCTGATTCCTGAGATCTTATTTAATAAAATGTCTGAATGTGAAGCAATGCAATTCTTGCATGGTAGGATTCTCTTCTCTCCTGAAATACAGTATCAAGTTTCATCCTATGATTTAGGTAGATGCTACTTTCCATGGGTCCTGACTGCAAGTGAATGAGAAGCTTTGTGGGGATCTGGGACAGGCAAGAATTGAATACAAGTTTGGGGACTCATTCTGGTGCCACTGGGGACTGAGGAAGTGGGTCAAAGCCCCTTTGACTCTCTAAGCCTGCTGTGGGGATAGGGACAGGGACTAGCAGAGACCATTCTTTAACCTGTGGATCTGAATGAGTGGAAGCAGGAGTGCTGAGAAGATGGAGACACTCAGTACCAGTCAGATCAGATTTTCATTTCCTTCATGGCCTTTAGCAACATACTTGACATTGCTGCTTGCATTCCAATCAGCTGGCTAACGTTAAGAAGTGACATTAGCTTCCAGCCAACTTTGAGGACTCCTGAAGAGCAATCGTCCTGTAAATCTCCACAACTTCTACTACCATGCCGCTAGCCAGAGGGGCCTTCACAGACTACATTTACATGCTTTACACACCCAGATGGCCCTGCAAACCTTCCCACAACAGGAGAAGGTCTGTGCAAGTGGACACCCTTAAAAGAAATGGCCTTTGATTATGAAACGAGCTATAATTCCCTAAAGTTAGGACACTCACAGCCTGATCAGGACATGTAACTGCTGTCTCCAAGAGCAGAGGACCTGGCTGGGATGCAGGGCTTCTGACTAGTACAGCCTGCTCTGGTCTGAAGAGCCTTTTCAAGAACATGCCCCAGCAAGACTTTGGCTAAAATAGGCTCTTTACCTTCATGTCAAAGTGCCAGTGTTGATCAGGTAATTAATAACATACTGATTAATTTGAGTGGTAGCTTGAGAGGTAACCTATAGATTTTAGTGAATAAAGATCTATCACCCAGATATCTATTTTCATCTTGTTCTGTGCCCACTACTGTCTCCTACATTTACTTTAAGTTTTCCTGTACTCAAAGTTCTGCCTCATCATGCCATTTTTTTTTAACTCAGGCTATGGAATGAACTATTTTCTAATATTATGCTGCTGCTTTGCTGTGCAACCTTGAAAAAGTTACCTAAGTTCTTTGTTCCTCAGTTTTCTTCTCTCTTAAATGGGAATAAAAATTAGACCTACACTTCAGGTTTATTGTGAGGATTAAATACGATAACAATATATAATGTTTAGAACAGTGTCTGGCATAAAGTAAGCACTTAATAGATGATAAATGGCGTTATTAAAGGTTTCTCAAGAGCAGAGGAGAGCAGCCAGGTGTCAGAGTGATCGATTAGCCCAATAATCCAACAGGGAAGTAGAGTCAAGCCTTTAATCACTTACTGCAATTGTGTAAGGAAAGAAGCTAAATGAGAAGAAAGCACTGGCTGCCTCCCTCGATGTTCTATTTCTTTCCTTGGAGCAGTGCTAAATTGGTGGATAAGAGCAGATATTAATCTCACTGTGGAAAGAGTCCAGAATAAAAGTTCCCTTCTATTTTGTGGCCCTGGGGTGGGGGGCAGGGTGAGAGAGAAGGGAGAGGGCTAGAAGTGGAAAGATACCGAAATACCAAGTCAGAATACAGAAAAAGATCCAACTACCTCCCATAAGGTGGAGCACACTTACTGGTCGAGAGAGAGGCCTCCAAATGGAAAACTCTGGACAATGAAGGTATGCATGAAAGTGTGTCCAGCTGAGGGAGAGGGAAGGTCCGAGTCCCAGACTGTAGTTCCCTTCAGATACTGTAGCAACCAGCTGTGCTCCTAGTCTGGCGTGGGGAGGGTGGCTTCCTTCATGACATCTGCAGGGAAAAGCCTTTGTCATGGCCTGTGGTGGAACCACAAAGATTAAAGTAGGATTCTGGCCAGGAGCCATGTTTATCCTGTTATTAATATTCACACATGCACACTCATATGTACACACACACACCATTTGTAACAATTTAGATGCTGCTGAGATTTTCAGAGAAGAGAAAGTGTGTTGCTTCACACAACTAATTAAAAAGAATACATCTTAATATTTCTGGCCTCTAAGATTGTTTTCTCTTGCTACTCTCTAAATTATGATAAAATATACATAACGTAAAAGTTACCATCTTAACCATGTTTAAGTGCCTCACCATTCTGTAATGTGAAACATATTCATGCGGTTGTGCAACCAACCTCCAGAACTCTCTTCATCTTCCAAAACTCACACTCTGTACCCACTAAACAACTCCCCAGTCGTCCCTGCTTCCCTATACCCTTTTGAACACTACCGCCTAGTCATCCTGGTTGTTCCACTTCAACTTATTTTTACCCCTATTACGTGGAACAGTTTTTCCTCTTTAACATTTCTAAAGTCAAACTTGGAATCTCAAACTTCTCCTGTTCTTCTGCAAAACAAAGTCCCAGTTCTCCACCCCCTCAGTTAGTGGGACACATCTCCTTACAAGGGACATGAGCAACCACTTCCAATGCTGAGTCTCCCCTGCAGAGTCCTGGCTACCCATTCTAAGTGGCTGAGCAATCTTTCCAAGCATAAATGATACTTGCCCCCCACAACTGCAAGAAACAAAATTTCTGTGATTTCACTGTACAATGAAACTATAGGGACAAGGAATTCAGTGAGAAAGAAAGATTAATGCCTTTACAATCACACTTTAGGAACAATATCTAAGACCTGATATCACATTTTCAAATAAATTTTTTTCTGACTTTTTAGGTGATGTATTGACATTCTTAGATTCTCACGTGGAATGTAACATTGGCTGGTTGGAACCTCTTCTGGAAAGAGTTTATTTAAGTAGGAAAAAAGTAGCCTGTCCAGTAATCGAAGTCATCAATGATAAGGATATGAGGTAATACTGTCATGTTCTACAAGATACTTCCAAGTGAGGCTTTTAGCCAGCAACATCAGACAGTACTGGTCATATTCCTCATGTGTGCATTTTGCAAATCTAAGAAATACACAGTGTATCAATTTAAATAAATGGAAATGCATGGTAGATATCTTAGGATCAGAGTGGGCAAATCTGATTATTTGATTATCATAAATTCATAACCCTTAACACCATTGTCCAGTTCTTTTCTCTTTCTATTCAACTGAACTGAAAAATATTTATTTTCCTTAAGATGAAATTTTCTTGTGGTAAAAAAATTCATGCCTGTAAGTTGGGTTTTTTTCCCTCAAAATGGCTATAATATTATTTAAGTTCAAAATAAGCAAGATAGCCAATGGGTCACTAAAGTAAATTGTACTTAAAATTTTCTTGAAATGGCCTTTAAAATCTTGTGATGATCTAAAATCATCTACAGAAACACTTATTGTATTCATTACACAAGACATGGCGTCAGGTTGGTTAAGTATACACGTATGATCTCAGGTAGCACTATTGGTTTTTCCCTGGACTAGTTACATGACAGTGGACAACTTTCAAAGAGGCATCTTTGTGTGGCCCATGAACTTTGGTTGGAGAACAATTCCTCCAGACGTTGTTGCAAAACACAAGATCAAAGAAACTGATATAATAAGGTAAGTGTGTGACATTTAAGATTAGAAAGCAGTCATGTGTCTTTTTGTAAAGGTATAGGAAGCAATTTTACAAAAGAAGTAGGTCCTGTCATTCTCTAGGACATTGAGAATTACATTTGTAGCCCCGGCCAGGTAGCCTTATTGGTTAAAGCATCATCCCAACATGCCAAGGTTGTGAGTTTGATCCCTGGTTGTTGCACACACAAAAATCAACCAATGAATGCATAAACAAGTAAAGCAACAGATTGATGTTTCTTTCATTCTTTCCCTTTCTCTCTCTCTAAAGTCAATCAATAAAAAAGATTTGTAGTTGTAGCCAATACATTACCAAAAGTAAATAAAATTTTCTTAAGAAATTAATTTCCGACTACCAAAGCTCATTTTTAAATGGTCAGTTGCACCCTAGTCAACCCTGAATATAGAGAAATTCATGAACATGATTTTTGTTCTCTAAGATTTACAACCTAAAAGAATGTAAAGCTAGATGAATATGCTGCATAAATGCTATATAAACATACATAATATTAAAGTCAACATGAGTAAAAATTAAGAGAGCAAATAATAGTAATAGAATATCATGATAATAATAATAGCTACTGTTAAGTTTTTTTTTAGTCTAGTCTTACTATTTCCATGGGAGGGGTGCAAACTTCTGTGAATGAATTAGTAAATAGACACAGAAGCTGGATATGAAATAAAATTGAGGCTTTATTGGTGGAGAAGATGGTCTGAAGGACACAATTTATACCTGAAGCCAAAGTGGAGACTTCCTGACACTTCCCCCAAGGAGTCCTGGGGACAAGCAGGCCATCATCCTCAGGCTGTACGGTGGGAGCCCTGAGCTTTCCCTGTTGGAAAAGGAACCTATGTGGACTCCAGGCAGCAAGTTCCCAGAGAAAGCCCGAGACCAGTCCATGCACTGCAGCATGCTTTCCTTGAGCTTATAATCCTTAAGAAAACACATGCATCCCTTGCCAGGTGTGTGCTTTCAGGATTGACGTTCCTAGCTAGTGAAACAGGGATACTATATTCATCAAGCTCTCTGTGTTTAACCCAGTCTATAACCATAGGAGAGAGGTGGTAGTATCCCTATTATAGAGATGAGAAAATTAAGATTTAGGAGAGTTAAGTAATTTTTCTTGGGATACATGGAGATTAATAGAAGAAATTAGGATTAATACCTGGGTGTGTGTGATCTGCCTGAATTTAACGCTCTTGCTCTGATCCTGCTCCTGAAGAACTTCTTTGCCTTTTTCAGACTCCCGTATTGAGGGTCAGTGTAGTGACAGAGTTCAGACTATATTTAACACAATGTTTGGAAGAGACTATATTGGGAGTAATCTGGGATACAGACAATCCAAGTTCCAGGCCCCACCTTTGCTGACTCTAACTAAGCTGTACCAGCACGAACCAGGGAACTCGTCCCTTAAGTGCTGTTTGTGACTCCATTCCAAGACCTCACACATGGTAGCCATTCTGAAATGCCCCCCAAGTCCATCACAGCTGTACAGAGGATCTGTGCTAAAAGTCAAGCTCCCATGACATGCAAGTGTGGAAAAAAAAACTTTTCTTTTTGTAGGTGCCCTGTCATGGCAGGTGGATTATTTTCTATTGATAAAAATTACTTTTTTGAGCTTGGAACATATGACCCTGGACTTGATGTTTGGGGTGGAGAAAATATGGAGCTGTCATTCAAGGTATTACCAAGGATTTCTCAAATTCTATTTCCAATTAAGAGTTTATCAACGGTTTCTTTTTACTAATACAATCAGATATGTTACTGCCTCTGGAAGGAAATTTCACAGAAATTTTAGGGCCTCTGGATTAATGTTTTCATATCCAAGATTGAATTTGGAAGAATCAATAGCACTCATGAAATGTATGAGAGTTCCCTAATATTTCACAGCACTGTTTCTGCATCTGAATGTGAGGGAAATAATTGTCTGCCATTCGGTGTAAATGCTGTAGGATTCATACTTAATATAAAATAACTCTCCTAGAAGATTTTTCTAATACATTAGGAGTTATTAAATCATTCATTGATGGCTCATCTTGGAGAGCACAAGTGACAGAAGTACAAAAAGTGACCCCAGGGCATGCCACCAAAGGCCACAGTGTGGCAACTTGGGACATATCAGACAACTCTGGGTAATGATACAACCATTGATTGATATCTAAGGAAGCCATGGCAACAACCTTAGTAAAGAGCATCCAACGAGCAACTGTTTTCCTAGGAAGTGGGGTGACATATAGTAAAAAAGGATAGTACTTTGAACTCCTGAACAAGAATGGTTTTCAAGTTGTGTTTAAAAAAAACCATAAATATATACTCCTTTCCCTGATTCAACTAAAGCAGGAACTCATTTACATTTTGAAATTCTGTGAGGATTTCTGTAGGAAAAAGAAATTTACATTGCAGGGAAGGGAAGGAAAAAAGTATATTTGACTAGTCCTAAAATGGTCCACAGCAATATACAGAAGTAAATACATTTGTTGAGTTTCATTTTCTATTGGAAATTTTAGAAGGTGAGACAACCACTTCACACAAGGTGGAGGAAGGGAGTCATCATGTGGTTTCTTGCCATTAATTGTCCTTAATTTGTGGACAGTGATTGGACCATTGATGCTTATCATTAAACTGTTCTAGGTATGGATGTGTGGTGGTGAAATCGAGATCGTTCCCTGTTCCAGAGTGGGCCACATATTCCGAAATGACAATCCGTATTCCTTCCCCAAAGACCGGATGAAGACAGTGGAACGCAACTTAGTGCGGGTGGCTGAGGTCTGGCTTGATGAGTACAAGGAGCTGTTCTATGGCCATGGGGACCACCTCATAGACCAAGGCCTTGATGTGGGAAACCTCACCCAGCAACGAGAACTTCGAAAGAAACTAAAGTGCAAAAGTTTCAAATGGTACTTGGAAAACGTTTTTCCGGACTTAAAGGCTCCCATTGTGAGGGCTCATGGTGTGGTAAGTTCAAGCAGTAATTCAAAGTCTGACTCCATAAAAATAAAGTGCCAAAACACTTTTGAAAATGTGTGGGAAGGAATAATATTATTACATGATAAATAAATAGCAAGTATGAGTGTCGATGAGACAAAGCAGAGTTGAGGAGTAAATAAAGGTAAATTTGAGGAAGGCTTCCAGGCAGCCACGTTGATGATTAATTCAGCAAATACCTATTGAGTATCAATAAACCAAGCAATATTTCAAAAGTGGGTAATAGGGTGGTGAATAATGTAGGCTTGACCTCTTTTTAGTGGAGCTTAAAGTTGAGAATAGAAAAAGATTATAAATGAACAAGCAAATGAAGTATAAATAAATATAATAGCTCTCATTTAGGGAACCATCCACAAATGAAAATTCTTCCAAGTTAGAGTGGTCAAATCTGAGGCGGTGTTGAAGGCTGGGCCTGAAAGGCCAACTGTCAGCCAAGCTCTAAAGAAGAGAGCCCCAGGCAGAGGGAACTCTTGTGCAGAAACTCTAAGACAGGCGACTGCCTGAGGCATTCAAGAACTGGGAAAAGATGAATGTTGTTGTCAGGGTGTGAAGGACGCAAGAATGGCACCCAATGAAATTGAAAAGACAGGACAGAGTCAGATTATTTACACCATTGTAGGCAGAGTAAGAATTCTTCTTCCCTTCCTTCCTTCCTTCCTTCCTTCCTTCCTTCCTTCCTTCCTTCCTTCCTTCCTTCCTTCCTTCCTTCCTTCCTTCCTTCCTTCCTTCCTTCCTCCCCCCCCACCTTCCTTCTCTTGTGAATGTAATGGTAAGTTATTGAGTAGGGTTAAGTACAGGATGACATGATTTAATCAGAGTTTGATAGGTTTCCAACATGGGTTGAAAATAACAAATTGTTTGACAATAGCAAAGAAAATTCCAAGGCACAATGTAATAATGTACCGAAGAAAAGAAACCAAGCTAGATAGGTTGGATAGAGTACGAAGCTAAGAAAAAAAATCAAGGAAGAGGGAAAACTGAAAGCCAATTTTTTCCAGTTCTTCCTAGAAAGTAGAGTTTGCAGTCCAACCACTCTCTTCCTAGCAAATATCCTGATGACAAGGACTTAGTAAAGCCATTCTCCTGGTTGGTATAGGGAGACCCTGGAAGAATTTGAAAGAGAGGAAACTAGTCTGAAAATTTGTTCTGTTTTTATAAAATTCAACTGACTAATGGGTACATATGACTTATTTGTATGTACTATAATATTTTATAAAATTGCCATCTCTATAGATCAAAATAGAATAGCACTACTTGAGGTGGTTCAATCTGATGTTTTCTCTTAGAGAAATCATTAGGAAGAATGACCTGGATTTATACACTATTCAAATGAAATGCCTGGCTTTCTCACTGGTGTGGCTCAGTTGGTTGGGCTTTGTGCTGCAGAGCAAAAGGTTGCTAGTTTGATTCCCAGTCAGGGTGCATGCCTGGCTTGTTGGTTCATTTCCTGGTTGGGGCACACATGAGGGGAAAACAGTCGAAGTTTCTCTCTCACACTGATATTTCTCTTTCTTTCCTTCTCCTTCCCTTACCCTCTCTCTAAAAATAAATAAATAATTTTTAAAAGTGTTATGGCTGTAAAATAAATTTATATTTTTTAATATGTCTTGAGAAGGAAAGAAAAAAATGCCACCATAGTAATTTTTCTGGTCCTAACAAAATCTCAGCAAGAGCATTACTGAACTTTAACCACCAGAGGGAACTAAAAAACTGTGTTTTGCCTCCTCTGCGAGACTGCCTTGTTTGCCTGCCTACGAAGTTTTTGAAGAACTCTCCTAATGAAACAGCCATCTGCTGATACCGGAGTTATTATATATCAAATGCAAAATTTTTTTAAATTATTTTAACAAATTGTTTTCTTTTATTTTCCGTCACTATTTGTTGCTTTTCTTAGACAAATTTTAATAAAGATGCCATTTGCTTCCCCCTGAAGCAACCAGTAGGGAGCATTATTACCATTTAAAAAAAAAAATAAGACCTTTTTCCAAGCAATGCAGAGTAAGATTAACTAGACCTTTATTTTGGATAGACGATCTTAAAAAGTTCCAAAAAAATCAACTCCGTGACTTTTGTTACTTGCTTCACATTTTCCCTTCTTTCAACCTATATATTTAGGAATTAAGTCCAGTGAAATTATTTTTTAAAAATGAGAACAAACCATTTCTTATTAAATTGAAAATGTTTGGCATAAATAAAATAACCTCACCAATAGTTTGTAGTTACATTGGATAAAACTCTTAGAAAATGGCCTATAGCCTAATGCTTAACAATTCTGTGATAAACTGTGGGAGTAACTCCCATTTTTAAATTAGGCAGTAAAATAATTCAAAATGAAAAGTTTAAAATTGATATACCACCTGATTTTCTAAACAAGAGATATTTAAATGGCTTGTCATAAAATCACGTATGCAATTCTTTAAAAATAAAATAAATACTCCATTTTAAAAGTCATTCATAATGAATATACAATAAAAGTTTATTAGCACTTCATAGACTTAGTTATGAAGAAAAGCCATGTCTCCAGGAAATTTCTCCAGTAATCTCTGATAAGAGGATAAGAGGGAAGGGAAACAGATCTTCAGGTGCAGTGGGGAAGGGGGGCAAAGATAGAAAAGATTTCGCTTACCTTCTAATGCCTTTCAGTGTTGGAAGAAGAAATTATACAAAATAAATACAAAGAAATCTGTTGAACCCTGGGTTTCCAAATATTGTTCTGGGCAATGTTTTTAGTTGTGCTGCCAAAAATAGGAATCCTCGGTCAAATACATTTGGCAACCACGCGTACGAATCCCCTCCCAGAGCATCAAGCTGAACATGAACATATTGAAGGCTCTGCGAAGTTCTGGAGGAAAAGCACCTGTGCAGCTACATGGCAGCCACTTTTGTCAAAGGCAGAATAGTTTCTAAACAAGCCACAAGTACAGGAGTTCATATTTATCTCTGTTAAGATCCAAAGAACAGCTGAGAAATCACTTCCTTTCTTTAATCTCCAGGGTTATTCTACCTTCATGCATCTCTGTTAACTCTCTTCTCTGAAGTTCACAGTGGTTGATTTCTTCTGTGCATTGTGACTGTTCCCATTTACTGGTGGTGGGGCGGATGGTTTTCTCCATTTTTGCCATTTTAAAGTGTGAATAGGGCTTTCTTTGAGGATTTCCGACAGAGTTCCTGCCCTTCTAGAATGGTGTTTGCATTCCAGCTATCCCAGAACTAACAAACTTGGTACTGTTTTTACGTTGTGTCTGTCTTGAGGGTCTATCAGGGTTCATGTGTGATACAAGTAGTGTAAATGTGCATCTCAAACCCAAAGGAAGGTCGCTGTAAGGTTTTAGCCCAGGCAGAATCTAGCCTCCCTGGGGTCTCTCTGTGCCTCCCTGTTCACTCCCTTAATGGGTAAATTGGTTTCCCAGTACGCCACTCCACTGAGGGTCCTACTCTAGTTTTTCATCTTTATGTGGAAGACCACAGTTCTACCTCCCTGCCTTATCCATGGCCAAGTTTTCTTCTATCCTTAAATTGTTGGTCCCTTAGTTACATTATTTGCAGTTTTTTTCCACTTGCTTTTAGTTTTCTGGGTTTTTTTTTTTAACTCTGCCTTTTCTGGTCCCTGAAAGTGCCCCTTACTTTCTGGCCAGCTAAGCTATGCATGTAAAAGTGAGGACAACCCACTGAGCACTGAGTTGAGAACGCTGGCAAATCTGTGAGCTACACAGCCTGCACCACAAGCACCCCAGAGTTCAAGCTCTGTGCTCAGCACCTGGAACTGGAAAGCTCACTGACGGTGTCCCTGGCAACTAGCACCTCACTGGCTCCCACGTCAGCAGGCTTTCCAGAGTAGAAACATGTTTCCACGCAGCATTTCTACAAATCGGAGAAGTCTAAATTGCACTATTGACCCACCATCTCGTTAGCCCTGCCCAGGATGTCAAAGGGAGCAAGATAATCAACATTTTTCTGCATTAAATGGTGACTTGTAGAAAGCTGCCTCCATATTTGACCCTGCAAATCCATTAAAAATCTGGGGACCTGCCAGGAATTGCCTTTAAGCTTGGCTCTATATTAGCTTTCGTGACTTTCCTGTAATCAATTGTAGCTTGCCTGAGTCATTAGGAAGATTCTGACAGGGAATCAGCTGGAAATCTGCTGTTCTTGAAGGACTCAATTTATCTATGATTTACTATCTAAGCAGTCAGCTAGTTTGGAGGAGTTAGCCTGGCAAGACAGCCTGTAACTCTTGGTTTGATTAAATTGTAAGTATATGCAATGACTTTTAATATATGCATCAAACTTGAGCCAAGAAAATAACTACTTCCCATGCCACCTTTTGCTCATTCCCTGTTCAGCATTCCAGGCAAGGGTTAATTAAAAGCTTCTGTTTGTTGGCTCTGTGGCTAGATCACAGGCCTAAATTGACAGATTGAAGCTGTACTTTAGCAAGATCACATTATGTCTCTGTTAGAGATAGCAACCACTAAAATCCTATAGTGCTAAGTACTGCTAAGCTATTAACTATCATTTGACCTTATTGTAGTTTTATATTCTGTGTTTTCTGAATGTCTTGCTCTAATTTAAAATATTTTTTCTTAATGCACATCTTATATGTTGCTTCCTAGCTGATTAACGTGGCCTTGGGAAAATGCATTTCCATTGAGAACAGCACAGCCACTCTGGGAGACTGTGACGGGAGCAGCGAGGTAGGTTGAGCTGGGTCTCTCTCTCTCACAGCAGGTGCAGTCGATGACACTGGAGTAGTTGATGAGTGAAGGGTGTGACACATTCATCAGATCCCTAGAAATTAATTTTTTCCTATAGAAACGATAGTTAATTTTTATATAATCATGATGGTGGTGATGAGAAGCTCCACCACTAAATGTAAAGATGTGGGTACTGAAGTCAACCCGCCAGGAGCACAGTTTCTGGCTCCATCACTTGCAAAGAGTGTTAACTGTGCAAGTCTCTTAACCCTCGGGTAAATGGCAGTGATAAGAGTGCCTATCCTAAAGCTTATGTGAGGAGTGAATTAGGCAATATTTTGAAGGATGTAGAATAATACCTAACACTTAATGCTCCACAGATGTTCACTTCTATAACAGAAACAAAAAAGTGAAAAATAACATATTACATATAAAGATAAAGTAATAAAAAAAGACAAGACATATTTTTAAAGAATTAATCTCAGGGAGCAATTTCATTCTCTGCTTCTATCCCCTGCCCCCATTTTTTCGTATCTTAAGAAAATAATGTAAATCACACAACCCATGATCCATGGTGGAAATTCCTGCAGCAAAGCTCCCATGAACCCGAGCACAATGGTTGGGAGAGTAGAGCAGGGACTCCATAGCTCCGGGAGGTGGCACCTCTCTCTCCATCACAGGTTCCCTATCCATTCCTATTCTGTGGGGACAGTTTATGGCTTGAGTGCCAAATAGGACTCACAAGACATTGATTCATCAGTTGAATTTAGTCCCCTAAAATGGTAGGTCCCTCTTTGTCAGAGAAATTATTGTAAGATGATAACATAGGCTTGTTGAAACTTACTGCTTTGATTTGACTCAGAGATACTGCTTTCATTTTCAAGCACATCCCACCTCTACCTCTTAAGCTGCTATTAGAAGCAAAGGCCTTTTTGTCATCTCTGTGGCCACAATCCAGCTATGGATTGTAAACTTGCAGCTACGGGAACTCTTTCTCAATTGGGAAAGATAAGGAGACATGAAAGAGAAGTGTCAAAAATCAACTGAAAGAAATAACTTGCATGTATTAATGATTCAAAGAGGAAATAATTCACACATTGTAAAACAAAAACTACAATTAGTCCAAATTATATGAAAGTAAAATATTGAATAATGCAATCCTTCAAGACTCAACATTTAGTGACTTTCTGGGTCTGATAATTCAGTATTTTATCTGAAAACCCAAAGTCTGGTCTAAGAACCAGAGTCTTTCAGATGGATGCTAAGAGGAAAAGGTATGAATTATGCAACCCTGCTTTCCCCAGATGCTATCTCCCTTTTGGTCTTGTTACCTTTTTTCACCTTCTGCTTCTTGTGGTTTGTTTGAAAAATAAAAAGTAAAGGAACTTCATGAAAATTAACTTATTTTTTGCCAGAGTTAATGAGGCTTAATATCAAGCCCTTGACTACAGCATTTATTTTTTTTTAAGTGCAAAAGGAATAAAACCCTAGGATGGAAACATCAAGCCCCATATTTCATTTTACCTAAAAAGTCTTTAGTTAACTTTTCAACCAGGTGAGATGTCCCTTTGCAAGGTAATATCTAGCTTTTCTTAGTAGCTATATAGCTTCCTTGTGCTATGACTTATGTCTATGCTTCTTGACAATGTAATATCCAAACCTACAGAGAATTTTTATTACTTTATTTGAGCCGAACTGATGGCATATGCCAGGGAGTAAGATCTCAAATGCTCCAGAGAATAACCATTTTGCCGTTTATTTTATGAATTTGAGATTAAAGTGGGTATGTGAGGAAGATTATATGTGGGAGAGAGCAAGGAGGGGACTGGATTACAGGATAGTTTAGCTCTCACGCTTTGGAAACAGAGGTCTGAAACGGTGGTCATGTTTAGAAGAAGGGGTCTTTCAGGGGACATGGCAAAGGTGTGTTAACCTATATGCACAGAAAAATGGACAGGGGTGAATACCCACCATGATCTGACCAGTGAGGAATTTATGATCAGATCACCCTGCAAAGTTATTTCCCATAAAACCCACTTTTCTTCCACATTCTCAAAATTAATGTGCCCACAGATCACCTGAGGAGTTTGCTATGATGCGGATTCTGATTCAATATGTCCTTGGTGGGGCTGAGACTCAGCATTGCCAACTAGCTTCCAGGTGATGAGGCTGATGGTCCAGGGGAACCCTGCCCATGCAGAGGTCACACCTGGACACTTGGTAATCCAAGTTAAATCTTAGTTACATCCCAAATACTTCAGTAGATAAAACAATTTAGGATGATTTTACCAGCAGCCTATTTTTTTCCTAATATGTTTACATTGGTGTAAAACAACAGTTTCCCACAGACCCAGAACCTTATAGTATATCAAGCAGGCAGATAGTACTAGATTGTAAATAACTGGAGAAAATATATAAAAATTGACAAGTGGTTCTATTACCTGAATCAGTATTTATTTTAGACCTTTAGACCCAGTGACTCCCCAAAACCAGTCTTCTTCAAGAGCAGTTTCTATGAACTGGGGGCACTCACACAGCAGCAACCTGATGACCCCTTGTGCTACCAGCAAAGGAAGATTCTTAACACTCCTAAAAGTCCAATTGTCTAAATAGTATTAAACAAAGAAACGTAATAATTTCTGCCAAGGTACTTTAGAGCCTTGACTTTGACCTCCCTGTAGCCCCCATGGCTCAAGGCCATAATCCTGTGGTGTTGCATGCTCCCATCCTTCAAGCATCAGCAACGTCTGGGCCTCAGAACACCTGAAATGATATTTATTGACATGAATGTACTAACTGTACTAAGTTGTATTATTGCAACTAACTAACCAACTTGTATTTTCTGCTCAAAGTGACTTTTCTCCTACTCATCTTCCCACAGCTACAGCAATTTAATTACACCTGGTTAAGACTCATCAAACATGGAGAGTGGTGCTTGGCTCCCATCCCTGATAAGGGGGCCCTGAGGCTGCACCCCTGTGACAACAGAAACAAAGGGCTGAAATGGCTGCATAAGTCAACATCAGTCTTCCATTCAGGACTGGTAAGCACAATCTTCGAATCCCTTCTTTACCACAAATCCAACCTTAAAGGAAATGTGACATAAAAGAGCATGTGACAATAAAGGCAATGTAAAAGTTCTTACAGAGAGATAAATGTATTTTTTGCAAATCATCAAATTTTTTTCTTTTACAAATTTATTTAAAATCAGTTATTTTAAATGGTAATCACCAGGTTTTGTTAGTTACGTAGTTTTCATCATCTGATTCTAAAAGTCATTTGCTTCAGCCAATGAACAATGTCAAAAGGCAAGCTTATGGGTGAGAATTGGTTTGCATTGTTTACCAGAAAACCTTATAGGGAGAATATGTGGGGAAAGCAGGAAGCAGTGTGCTCCCCACAAGGCCTGCATTCCACTGTGCATCTGGATGCACATTCTGCCTCTTGCCAACAGGAACACATCTCATGCACTGGGTTTCCAGAGGCCTCAGCTCTCTGGGGATGCTGGAGTCAGCTCCCACCAGCTTGCCAAGGACACTTGCAGTGATACTGCTTTGGCAACTTGAAAGCAGCCATGATGGGAATATTTACATCCATGTTACAAGTCAGGGGGTATTTTTCCAGAGGTCCAGTGATTAATATTTACCAGAATACCCCTGTAATGCCCTATTCACACAAAGTCCTCTCAGCTTTTCCCAATTCTATTTTAACAGGGTACAAAGTCAGAAGCATTCATGTAGGATCTTGGAGTGGCAGAAATACTGTCAGGCCGGCCTTCTCAAATGTTCCACTATCTCAGTAGGAGTAGCCACCAAATCCACTAAATGCGTTGAGATATGGAGACCATTATTTTGCTCAGGGCTGGCCCCAAAGTAAGCATGCTGCTTTACTTGGAGTGCCTCCATTTCTTTTGATATCACAGCCAGGGACTATTCTCTTTAGGATATTTTTCTTCCTGCCCAGGGTCAAAATCAGGGCCTGAGCCACACATTCTCTAGTTTTATCTCCTTTTTTATTTTCTCTGTTACATTTTAATCCCTCCTGAATATTTTTTTTCTCTTTAGTGGCAATGGTTATTGCTGACTTATTTTTTAAAATGAGGAATTACTAGTGTATAAACTGCTATTTTTATGTTTTATAGTGTTGGAAAAATCTATAACTACATACCAAATAAATCACATCTTATCTCTTGCTTCCCTAACTCTATGCCAAAGGAGGGAGGGAGCAAGGGAGCAAGAAAAAGAGAAAAAGAAGGGTGGGAGAGAGAGGAAGAAGAGAATGAAAAAGAAAGAGAGAGAGAATATAAGAAGGAGAACAAAATCTTTATCTCCAGAAGTGAATCTGAAAATAGAAAATATTTTAGGCTGGTGAGAAAATATTTAGAAGCAGGCCATCCTTAAATCACATAGGGCTATTTACCAACTGGGCTGGCCCCACTGAGAAACTTAAGGCTTATTAGTGGATTAATTTTATTTTTGAATCCTCACCCAAGAACATGTTCATTGATTTTAGATAGAGAGAAGGAGAGGAAGAGAGATTGAGAGAGAGAGAAAGAGAGAGAGATCGTTGTGAGAAAGGAGACACATAGATCAGCCACTTCCCGTACATACCCCAGGATCAAACTTGCATGTGCCCTGACTGGGGATTGAACCCTCAACCTTTTGGTGCATGGGATAATGCTCCAATCAACTGAGACGCCTAGCCAGAGCTGGCCAATTTTTATATAGGTTTAATTTCACTCTCCTGAAATGGTAAGCCAATTTGTGAAGAAGGGGATTGAATTAAGATGGCAAAAATTAGAAAGCTATTCTGCTACGTTGTTTGTGCCGTGACTTGTGACACGGTATATAGCTACCTTCTGCCTTGGTTCCCCCATCTCATGCTGCTGGATGTCATAGAGATGAGGATTTTGAAAATTGCTGTTCTTCTTTTTTCAGTATTTTGGTAGTTTTCATACTTAACTTTCTAAGTCCCCCAAGACATGAAAGTCTTAAAAAGCAAAAGAAGTGGAAAATAAGACTGTGACTGGCAGGAGCCTTTCTCTCCTTTCAGAAGGTGTTCGGAGTCGGGACCTTCATGGAAGGAGGAATGGTAATAGTGAGCTCGACTCTGGATACCAATGAGTTATTCAAGTTATACGTTTATTAATCAGCATTTAAATGCTGTTCTCTAGGTGAGCCCTCCCCAAATGCTCCAGGTTATGGCCACATAAAAGTGAATAGTTTCATGGGTGGCTTCTAGGATTTGGGAAATACAATACCTCTCCACCACTAGTTCTCATATCAAGTGTCTTTGGGCTGGGAACCAGTTATTTAGCTACCTCTTTACAATCCACCAGCAGAATATTGTAGATAATCCAGAATAATTTTGATCAAGTCTAACTCCTTCACAAAAAACCTTGAGTTTATACAAGCACCAGATTTCCAAAGTTTCACAAAGGAGTTTACTATGATGCGGATTCTGATTCAATATGTCCATGGCAGGGCTGAGACTCAGCATTCCCAACTAGCTCCCAGGTGATGTGGCTGATGGTCCAGGGGCACCATGTCCGTGCAGAGGTCACACTTGGTAATCTAAGTAAAATCTCAATTACATCCTGAATGCTTCAATAGATAAAAGCATTTAGAATGATTTTACCAGAGGTCTATTTTTTTCTAACATATTTTTTGTAGGGATATCTGTAAAATAAATGATTATTAAGTCCCCCCATTTGATAATATTCTTAAAGTATTATATATATATATATATATATATATATATATATAAATTTTTTAAATTATCTTTGTCATAGTCCTGGATAATTGAGAAGTGTGATAGGTGAAAAAATTATAAAGTTATGAGTGAGTTCTAAGCAGGTTATTGATCATTTCTAGGATATCAATGAATATTAAGCAATAATAGAGCCCTGAAGTACCTTTGATGTTTTTCCTGATTACACCTGAATTTTCTGGATATCAGGCATTATGTACTCAGAGATTATGGTGGGGAGCTTGTAAATGAAATACATCATTTTTCTAGCACTTTGTATTTCAAATTTGCATTCTAAGGCATGGATTTAATTAAGAAATGAACTAACTCACTATTTGTCATGGTTTGTGTTTTTTTCTTTCTTACCATCAGTGAGGAGCCATCATCCATCAAATATAGCAAATGCCATCTGGTAATATTTTCTTTAAATAATATAGTAATCAGCCATATGATCAGAAAATTCCTCTTTGAAGTGTGAGAACTTAACTTGAGAGAGAGACAAAATTAATAGTGTCTAAAGCCTGTGTTTATGTTATTAATTGAGTTAGAATAATTCCTAAATAATCAAAAATGTAAATACTTATTTTTATGGGTTTCCATTTCTTTACATCTCAGTGGTCAAATTCAGTCTGTGGCTCATCCCCAGATCCCCTTTCTCTGCAGGTAAATCACATTGTTTTTGCAAGCTATCATCAGTTATTATGCTTGGAAGGGAATTTTTCTCAGAAGACCCTGAAAGTTGCTGCTTGTGACCCAAAGAAGCCATATCAGAAGTGGAAATTTGAAAAGTATTTTGAAGACTGAAGAGGAACTGATGTTTTTGTCTAGTGAGGCCATCAGACACTGTGAAAATGACAGTGAACTCAGTGATTATGTTTGTCCACAGTAATTTAAATTTTCAGAATGAATAACACTTGAATGGAAGATTCTTAAAAATCATAATATTTGAGATACCAAACATTAACTCAGGGAAACAGTCCTACATTGAATTGGAGTCCTTCTTCAGCACCAGGAACCCTTTTGACCTGCCTGCTTCCTGCCCTGGGCTAGCTAGCATCAGCCTTCAAGTTTCCCCAAGCAACCCACCAAGCACCCACAAATAAAGACAGAAGTACTTGGGGAACTACAATCATAATCATAATGACTGTATTGGGTCAAAACCAGCTCTTGTGGCCCCAAAGTAGGTTAAAATCAGTGAGAACCTGGTCTTTTATTTACTATTTTTTCATTAAAAAAAAACATTAGTTTCTATGGCTGGAAGACCTCATAAACTCCCCAGACTACATGTGGGTTTACCTTTCAGTTTGAGATAGTACTGATATCATATTCCTTGATGGCAGGATTTGATCTAGGTTACTACATAGTGCTTTTTACCAAGATGAGTCAATGGAAAATTTTTTAATTGGGGAATCAAACACTCATTCCATTCTAGATGTGGACATTGTTTCCGTTTATTTTGTGCTTTTTAAAACTACACTTAAAACTACACTTAAAAACAGTCATATTAGTAACTTGGTAGAGTCACATGAATATTAAGAAGGAAACAAAAAAGGCAAAGTAAAAGAGGCTTGATCACAACATATTGTAGTAACCCAAAGTACATTTAATCACTGAACACCCTAATTCGGGTCCAAGTAAGAGGAGTGGAAACGAAGGAGAAATGGAACGTGCAGAAATATTAAGGTTCTATTATATAAAATACTGCCTTAAATTTAGCAGCATTTAGGGGATAAATGTGCTAAAAATGGCCCTAAAGATTTTTTAAAAGAAATAAAGTGAAGGAAACAATAAGAGGGGAAGAGAATGAGGTAAGCAATCGTCAGAAAAAGGGGTAAGAAAACACTTTAGACGTGGCAAAAATAATAGAGAATTTGCCACCTTGATGAACAGGGTGGATAATAAAGCCTCGGATAAGGAGCTAATGATAACAGTGGGGAAAAGTCCAGTATTCCTTTGATTCAAATTGAGCCCCCCTATCTTAGGCATGTCAATACTTAAGCGTGTCAGAGAAGATCTTAGAAATCCTGATACCCTTTACTTTTATTCTGATAAGAAATTGATACCTAGAGGTCGAGTTACCGTTCTGAAATCCTAGGCCGATTAGTGAGAGAATCAGGATTAAAATGTGAATCACCAGAGGCTCATTCTATTGCTCCAGGGCACTGGCCTAAACAAATCTGTTCCACAGCATTTCTCTGAAAGAGATACATAAACCATTTTGCCTGAGTTGGGTCCTGGAGGGTAATTATATTATATGCCTGTTAATACCTTTAAAAAAAAGCTTTGTTCAGCTGAGCTGATGATAAACCTGGGCATCTTCAGTTCTGTCTTTTAATTTAAAGTTTATTTTTAATTCCCAGTTAATTCCACAAGAGCAGAGCAATAAAACAAGAATTGGAAGGGAAAAAGTTTTGCTTTTTTACATTATATTTGGGATGCATTTTACAAATAATTGACATTGCAGAGGAGATCAGAGAATGACTAGATTATGAGATAACTCTTTCCACACAGAGCCATGCAGCGGGTAAAACACAAGGCAGTTGCCAAACGCCTTACTGAACTGCTGACCGAATTGAGTATGCTAAGCGCTTCGTTCAATTCTTCATGAGCAGAAAAATGTTGCAGGTTTATTTTCCCCCAGTCTAAAGACTCTATTGTTATACCAAAAACTCCAACTCTGTTCAGAAAAAGGTGAATTATGTTTTAGATACACTTCACTTTGGGTATAAGAGCAGAAGAAATTTGAATGTTTTTCTCAAAAAACCTTCTTATAGTCTGTTCAGTGTATGTTCTTCCTGACTTTACCTTGACATATGCACTATATGAAGATATAATTGAATCTGTATTGTCAATATAACAAAGGATTGTTTTCATACATCACATAGTTGTTCTTGGGTAGAATTTTAAAGACAGCTCTTAGCATGTATTTGCTCAGTTATTCTATGATGCAAAAAAAAATAATCACTAGTTAAGAATTTTATAGGCCCAAGCTTGATAGTTTTGACTAATTGCAAAATCTACTACCAATATTTTTTTTTTAGCATTGCCCTCTAAACTTTGTTTTCAGAAGATCGCAATAAAGATACAAAGGCCTCAAGGTCTTCTGGTACTTCTAATAAGAAACCTTTGGACGGGGCACCTTAGGGTCCTCATCAGCCCTGATTTTTTCCTTAGAGGGCTGTGTTATTGGGTACTTCACAGTTTTCCCTCGATCAGCTTGAGTTATTGCCCTTCTTGGAGAAATGTCTATGTCTCTCATCAACTTAAACACAAGTGTGGTTATGTTAATATTTAAAAGAACTCATTTGATGAAAAACTAACTTACCAAACCATCTGAGTGCTTCTGAGCCTTCAGTTTGCACAGCTCTTCCTCTTTTTCAACAACTACCCAAAGCTTCCACCCTCCCATCTCCAAAGGATGGCACAGCTGTTGTTGGTACAACCATGTTTTATCACCAGCATTGAGTCTCCTCAGTTCTGCTTGCTGACATTCAATCAGCCATCACTCACCAGGCCAAATCCACCATGTGTCACCGTTGCAATGCAGTGTCAGCTTCTCCACACTTATCTGGAAATACTATTTAGATATTTAAACATCTTGCTTCCGATAGGGATTATAGAAGGGCAAAGGTATAGTTATAACATAGAAATTCAATTTCCCTAGTCAACCTCGATTTCATGAATGGCTTAGAATGGTTTCCAAGGGGCTCTCCTGCAAGAGAATGAGGTTGAGGGACACCAGATAGTACCATCTTTATTTGTCTTAACATCTTTAATTAATTTAATTTTTATGTTCAAATACAGGAAATAAATTATGCCTCAGATGAAGACCCCAATATCTTGGATTAAAGCAAGGAAATGATAAAGAGTAAAGAGAAAAAATAGCAACTAATTACCGCTAAGTACCTACTGTGTGCTAGGCACAGTTTGCACCCCATCTCACTGTAGTGCACACCTCGGTGAAGCAGATCTGGTTCTCCTCATCATGCACATAAGAGGATGGCTAGGAGGGATTGTCTAGCATCATCCCGTCATCCCACTTGTGAGAGATAAGAACCCAGTTTCCATGCTATTTGGATCAAAAACAAAGAGGAAGAAAAAAGAGAGAGAGTCTACTCCCCCATACCATACTGCTATGATTATATTTTTCTAAGTAGGCAGTCAGCTCAGTGGAGCTCAGTCAAAATCCCTTGGTTGTGGAGTCAAATCCCTTTGTTTTCTCTCATGGACGTTGTACAGACAGGAAATAGAAGCTACACCCTTTTCTGCTAAACAACTGAAGTGTAGACTCAAGGAGAGCAATCCCCTCATGCCTTGCAGGGGTCTTCATGCTGGAAGACCTATTTGACTTCATGCTGGAAACAATCTTTCCTATTTCCTGGAACAAATATGAGGGGAAGAAGTGGACATAGAGAGTTTGTTTCTCTGTAAATATTACCAACCCTTTCTTCCCTCAACTGTTAATCAAAGCTGACAGATCTGAACAGAGGTGGGAAATGAAAAGGCGAGGAATCCTTTAATTTAAAACATGAACCAAGACTTTTAACTTTTCCTTCATTGTGCTGCACCATAATGCTTTTGCAAACGCTTTTGCATAGGTTATTCAACAATTGCTGCAAGCAAAGACGCCTTGCAAAAAGAACAGGATCACTAACCAAAGCTAATGTAGAAAATATTTATTTTTGGCAGATAGTCATTTTGTAGACAGGTTTGAATAAACCATTTAAAGTATTATATACTCCCGATGAGCTTTCATGGATGGTATGTTAGGTGTTGATGGTGCCTGTGTCTACAAGAAAGGACATGAAAATTACCATCGTACTAAGCAAACTTACTATCTCTGTTTTCAACCTAATGAGTCACCTAAAAGTTATCTTTCCCATTAGGGTCTCTTTGCAAGCTTATATGAATCTTTGTTTTGCAAAAACATGCATGAAATTCTCATTTTCCAGCAAATGCAGCAACTTTTAATATGCTTAGTTCCTAATGATGACAGATGTCATCAAATAAGAAATATTTTTTTTTAAACACAGGTTTTCTATTTTATTATCAATTGATAGATGTTTTCCAATTTAAGGATATTGGTCATAAATCTCTATATAAATAAAGCATAGATTGTCTGTACTTCACCATTCAAAAACACATCAATCTTTGTAAATATATGTGTATATTTGTATCAATGGACATATACATATATGCACATATATTTATTTATATGCTTATGTATGTATATATGTTTGTACATTTTATATTTTTAATTGGAAGATAGTAAAACCAAGAGTTTCTGCTTTAAAAAATTAAGAAATGTTTTTGGGCATTTTTAACTCTTTTTAAGTGCATAGTTTTGTCTTTCTCTGGCCTTCTGGACAGAAGTGCAGGTTGACTCTCCAGTGTTTTTCATAAGTGAAAGGAGTAATCAAACCTTAAATTCAAAAGGCCAGTTACTGAAGTTAGGGTTATACACACCTTAGTTCTTCTCTTTCAAACAACTGCCCACAACTGTTGCTAGTTTTATACCTATTAACTATAAGAGGTGAACATAAAAACAAGAGAAGGCAAAGGTCAATATAGTGACTTTTGTTTTTGAAAACATTTGTTAATGGGAGAATTAGATTAATTTATAACTAATCTGAACATTTTTAAGTACCCAATGTTTCTGCCTCTGACCAACTGAAGTTATTATAAAGAAGGTATCAAACATGTAATGTTTGATTTTTAAGTTTCTACATGCAAATTTAAACTACTTTCCAAATTCATTTCCCAAAAGCTCCCTAGCTGGCAATTAATTACTAGACATTGTCATCTGAGTTTACAATTTGTCATGTACCTGAGTGATTTCTGCAGCTGACTCCCACCTATGTCATTGCTTTTGTGCTGGGTGCATGGCCCGGTCACCTTGTGTTCTTCAGGAATGGCGTACATGTTTTGGTATTCATATTTATTATGTTATAGTCTGATATTTTAATATTGTTAATGTTTGCTATAACTTCTGGCCTTACATTTTATAGCCCTTTTTTTCTATAGAACAATGAAAGTTCAGGCTTTAAAATAAGTGGTTGCCTTTCTCATATTGTCAAACATATTTCTTCTTTATGATACTCTGGTGCTTCATCTTTTCCCATTATTCTCTACTATTATTATTTTAAATGTTTTTTTCTATCACTTTGAAAAACTTCAATGTCCATTTGCCATTTGAAAGTGTTTCAAAAATACTAGCCTATGTAAATATGCAGAAACAACTACTATACAAATGTCGGCATAGTTTACATGTATTACCTGATGACTACAAAGATATGTTTTTCAGGTTTTGGAGTAATGCATCTAAAACAATAGCCTGGTTCCTGTAAAAGTAATGGGAACTTTTCATGAACATTATCTAGTATCCTTTATAAATTTTCTTGTAATTTCATGTACAATCATTTTAATACTGTCTGATATAAACATAACAAATGAATTAAAGCAATGTGTTCTCTTGCTTTCTGAAGCAGCATTTATTGATCATATTAATAGTTGCTGATATGCAAGTGTTTTTACCCAATTTTAAAGGGCAGCCAAAGAAAATGAAACCTAGACACCAGAAAGAAAGACACAAACTTTTATTGCGAGTGAGTCAGAAATAGAAGTTCTGTAATTTATTTGTTACTGAATAGATAGATAGATAGATAGATAGATACATAGATACATAGATACATAGATACTAACATATTCTGTGTCTTCAAAGTTAACACTATAGTAAGGGTAAATTTTATATTGACAAAGAAATAGAGCTATTATTAATTCTTGTTCACCCGGCAACTGAGGAAAATAAAAAATCATGTGAGAAATATCAGCATTCTCACAATAAATTAATTCTCCCTCCTGAGGTACCAAGAGTCCTTTTTCCAACCCTGAACCTTGAATCACAGAAGTGGTAAACTTTATTGCATAGTTAGCAATTTGTACTTTAATGTGTCTCATGTGAGTTTCAAATATGATAATATCCCTCATGCAATCTGAACTAGACCCTTGTCTTTCCTAGGTTACAAAGAACCAAACAGCCACCCATTGGTGTCATGTTACTAATGGTCACTTAACTTTATGGCCTTAGTGTAAGACAGCAGCATAGCACAATGCCAAAGACAGTTTTCTTTTGCAAGTACATTGCCTCATCCATGAGAATTAAGTATTTATTCTTTGAATATACCCTGAAAAAGTCTTTGTTGACAAAATCTTTCATGATTGGTTTATCATCTGGTTAGAGTACAGAGGTAAAAAGGCCAGCATTACTATCTATTTATCTGTCTATCATCATCTATCTATCATCTATACGCATACCCCAGGAGAGCTAGTTGCTTGGCCATATCATGTGGTCATAGTCCACCACCACATCATCACCTCCCCTGGAATAATTTAAAATACAAGCTCTGCTGATGGTAGATTAACAATATGGTCCTGTTCTATGGTAGATTAACAATATGGTCCCAGTGCAGCTAACACAGCACTGGGCTTTGAATTTAGGTAGAAAATTGCAGGGGTCATCAGTAATCCAGAAAATAGAATAGGTTGTCCAGAGGGACAGATTTAGAGGACCTAAATAAACAGGAAACTGTCCTAGTATATCACTTTTCTACCTAAGTTTATCAATAAAGACCTGATTTTCCTACCTTTATTTTGAAAATGTGCCTTGTCAAGAATGAAATCTACAGGTTCTCCAGATTAAGGGTGGCAGAACTTTTTATATGATCAAGTTGCAAAGTATTTGAAAGAATAAAAGGAACACTGGGATCTTAATTCAAAAGTGAGTCTTGTAAACACTAAATAATAGTATGTGATACTATGGAAATATATTATATGACCAGGAAGAATTAAAGAAATTGCCATTAAAATGTGTGGGATTTGTTACACATAAATAAGCAATAATCTAAGAAGAGCTAAACCGGGGTTTTTTTTTACAAAATGAAAAAGAAATAAACAAAGGGTTGAATAGTACAATGAAGACTGTATTACATTCAGACAATAAGGAATTGTCTTTTTATTTGCAGGGCCAAAAAAAAATCTTCATCTGTAGTGACAGAAAGTACATGGTAATATATATGGAGGCATGAAATAGAAAAATTATGAAACTATCTAAGAAATCTATATAAATATAGACTTCATTTTCATAAATATTCAATACATTATTTGACACACTGGTTTGATTAAACTCCATAGGCACAATTTTAAGCATCTCGATTTGGGCTAGGTCCAATAAATTATATATTCCCAACAACTATCAGAGCTTTCTCACTAAAAATATATACTCACACTCTACTTTGAGAATATTCTAAGTTAATTACTTCCATTTTCATAGTAACTAGTACAGTTATGACTAGAGTTTCTTAGGAAAGAAAATTATTCTACATATTATTAATAAGGGAAAGCATGATAATAAGGGGGGAGTATTTTCCTTAAAATGTGATAAAGCTCTCATTTTCATTTTTAATGCCATTAACTTTGCTGGATAAGATTTTATTTTCCATCACAGAAATAAAGTTATCCAATAAAACTCTAGTCTATTGCCCACCAATTTTATAGCCCTTCCCTGTGTCTACTTCACAATGGGTTGAATTCATCTTGAGAGCATAAAGGCAACATTTAGTAAACAGAATTCTCCTGCCAATTGTTCAGCTCCTCTAGTGAGAAAATTCAGTGAATGGTAACACTGAGGAAGAAGGCCCATACAGAATTTTCACTCTACGAATACCAAGAAAACCACTTCAATTTTTTTGAAGATAATAGGAAAGGCAAAGTATTTTGAAAAGTTTATTGCCAGAGTCTAGAAAATAGTGTTTAAAAGTTGAGAAAGAGTTAACAACAGACTTACTATCAGCTTCAAGGTACAGGAAGAAAGACCCCAGAAAAAATATAGGAACCATTTCAAATAGTTCTCTTCACTTAATGAATACATGTCCCAGCACTGGTCCTTTTAAAGCCAAATTATGCCAGATTCCCCAGGGTTCTGGCTGTTTAGGGCTTATCCCATAATGCTATGTTAGTGGAATTTTTAAAAAGCAAATGTCCACAAATTAAAGGTTTTGATTTCAAGTTACCAGACTGAATTTTGTCTCGGGTTATTTTCACATTATTCTACAGAAACACAGAAAGTAAGTTTCCGTATCTTTAAAGCAGATAAGCGGAATAAGGCACACAAAGATACATCTCAGGAAGATAGAATTAGCTTCTGCATTAGTGGGCCTGAGAACCTCTCAGATCCAGTTAGTTCATAAATGCATCATGGACTCAAATTCATCAATTCTTTGCTTGGTATTCCCCTTCCTGATTTTTCGATAGGATATTGTATTGTATCTTGAATAAGTACTTCTGGAAATATCACCCTTCTTCCCAAAAGCTGGCTGCTCATCCGGAGTCACGGGCTGGGAACTGGAGCTGCTTGTTGGGGAGTCCTCACTTGGATAACCTTCCTCTTTTAAGGGAGAACCCTCTTCATGTTTTTTCTTAAATTCTATCACTCGAACTTCATCTTCATCATCGTCTTCATTGTTAATTTCTTCATCCCAAACCTCTTGCTCCTCTTCATGTACCACATCAACTTGGCGAGGCTTTTGAAATCCCAGCCATTCAATTTCAGTTGCCTGGTAAGCTATGTTCTTCCTACCCTCATCTTCTCTTTCTTCTAGAGGCTGTTCAATGATTCTTTCCTTTTGTCCACTTATTTCCATGTTATTGCCGCTCAGAGGAATCTTCTCCCACTGATGCCCTGTAGCAAAATCAATTGGTAGTTGAGATGTGCAGAGGTTCCAAAATCCTCAGCTGTTACTCTCCAAATTATATTTCTGGACAATCACTTCCCCACATATGTTTTGTGAAATATTATGTTATTTATGTTGTGGGTTACTAATATATTTCATACAATAAAATGGGCTATACCATTTAATGAGTTTGGGGAAACCCTAAATTAAACACAGTTAAGAAATTTTCTTCAGAATTATTCCAAGCCATGCTAATCAACATTGTAAATTTCCAAGAAAGTCGACAACTTAACTTAATTTGACTATGGATTTTTTGTTGCTGTGTGCTACTGTACTGAGTGAGACTGGTACTCCCTGAGACACACTTCTAAAAATTTTGTTTGACCTGTCATGATGGGATGTGAATATATAAAATAAATATTTGAACTTCTATCTTACATACACAGACACACACACCCTTCAAGGAAAACTAGATATTTCACAGGGAAAAAAATGGATTTCTTCCGGTAGTGAAAACAACGACTGTCCATTTCTGGTCATGCTCACAGTAGCACATTTACGACTTGCCACCATGCTTCCCAGAGTTGGCCTTAAAGCACCAGGTGTGGAAGGAGGAACACAGGAGCGCGGTGGTCAGAAGTCAGGAGCTGAAGCTGACTGAAACACCAAGCCCACCAAAGCACGTGCACTTTAGTCTAATATTCCTGCCGGTAATTCTTAGACAGCCAAGATTTTAAGATAATTTTGAGGTCATAGCTACATAGTGATAGATCAGCCTATTGTTTTAGACATGTCCCTACGGACAACTAATTAATTCAAGTTGTTTGGTACCATGTCATGACTTTTATTTTTTTATCTTTTTAAGTATATTTTATTGATTATGATATTACATTTTTCCCAATTTCCTTCACTTCATCCTCCCTTCCACCCTGCACAACCTAACCCTCCAGCATTCCCCGCCCTTAGTTCACAGCCACAGGTTGTACATGTAAGTTCTTTGAGTCCTCTGTTTCCTATACCATTTTTTTACCTCACCCCGTCTATTTTACACCTACCAATTATGCTTCTTCTTCCCTGTACCTTTCTCCCTATTCCTCCCTTCCCCCTCCCCACTGAAAATCCTCCATGTGATGTCCATTTCTCTGGCTTTTAAGGAGCTTAATCCACTCCAAACTTCATTTTACAAACAGATCATAAGAGGGTATTCTCAACAATATTTACTGTGAATGGAAAAAAGGATTAATTATGAGTAGAGGTAGTTCTTGGAGCTTTCACGCCCAGGGGACTTGTGTGGGAAGCTTCGGCGTGTTAAGTGCACGATTCAGAAACAGTGCCTGAGCAGAGCCCCTTGTCAGGCCTGCATTCACTGTTCCCTCTCCACACTGTGAGGGTTTTTAGCCAGAGTGAGAGATGAGGTTGCTCTTTGCCATTCCCTTCCACAATTTTCTATTTTCACTAAAAGACATTCACAAGTTCATTCCCATAAAAAATTTTTCATTCCCTTTTTATTTTTCTATTTTTCCCCAACTATATGAATCAAATTGTAAACTTACAAAGACAGAATTAAAGATGGATTATCACTTCTGACCAGTTGTACACAGGTACCCAGTCCTGTTCTTTACACTATCAATAAGCATGCGTTAGGGTGTTTGCTATCATCTTGAGGTCTGTTTTGTGTTCTTCTTTTTCACGAGAACCAAAGAAACTGTTCTTTTCGCTCATATTCATGGCTTGGGCACAGAGTCGTCACATATGAAATTACTTCTTCTATTAAAATTGTAGTTTTTCCTCAGTATTTTTAGCATCTTTCTAGTTTTTGAACCAGGAGTATTCTCTCTGAAGACTTTATAGCTGTTTGCCATTGTGAAAATAAAAGACAATGAAATGTATACATATGTCTAGCTTACAGGAAAAACATATGTTCCTCCAAACATAGAAGGATTCATTCAGGGGACAATTCACACCGAGACCCACTACCTTAAAATTTAGACTGCTTTTGTTTTCTGTTTGATAAAAATGAAAGATCCTTTAAAAAAAAAACTGGTGTCTCCACTGGACTTCCGATTAGAAATTTGAAAAGGGCTCTAGGCGGAAGATGGTGATCCCGCCTTCAAGAACTAATTGGGAGCAGAGAGACGAGGGCAGAGGTTTCGCCATTTCATGGGGGCTTAAGTCTGAAGTCCGATAAATTATCTGTGATAATGTAAGAGCCTGACAATGCCTGTTGCTTACTGTGTTCTTCCTTGTGTCCACGCGGTGGACCACTGCATGGGGACGGCGGACAGTCTGACAGGTGTCCAGGCAACGGGGCAGATCCGGGAAACCACCAACCACACTTGTGTCCCCCTCGGCATCTGCTTTTTATGTGATGCTCTAATAATTCAACCAGTGATCCCTATAATATTTTTCATGTTAAGGTTCTAACTAAACTAAATTGCTTAGGTCTAACAAGCTGACTTCAACTTTAAAATGAGAGATTTATGGCTGCAAGAGAGGAAATAAGTAACTAATTAATAGACTTTTATCTTTCACTGTATTTGGAAATTGCTTGAATATAGGTGTTCCCTTAGAAGGGAAGTCTAAAAGATTGTATGTCTCTTAGTCTCTTGACTTTATTTGAAATATAATACAGTCACTTAAAAATCAGTGCTCCTTTTATTCTCATGTTTTCTGAAAAACACAATTAAAATTAACTTTATCACCTGGGAGATTTCTTTAACAAGAATTAGGCAACCATCTTGTGCTTAGATCAGAGGACTGGAATTTTCTTTTAGATCAAATAAATTTATAAGGTTATTTTAAATTGTATGTCAGGCCAAACTTTTAGGATAAACATCTACATTTCACAAGGTGCCTGATGCAGATTTGGAGACACTAAATCAAAAAGAAAGGTTGATTTAGTGGACAAGCTTAATAAGAGACAGACACATTGTCAGGTCAGAATCTGCCAATCAGTTATGCAGTCCATGCGGCTTCAGTCTTGAAGCTTCTAGAATAGTCTGTAAGGTGGAGCCCCCAGATAATTAAGATTTCCTTATCTGCCTATAGTGGCTTTGAGGGGTGAAAGGTATTGCCTGGATTGTGCTGTCAACACCACACACATGCATCATCCCTTGCCAAAGTTCTCAACCATAACCAGTCAAACAAATGCTGTGTACATAGTGGAGAGAGGTTCCTCTTACCTTCTCTGAATGTCGTTTCATCAACACTTGTTTCTTCGAGAGAAAGATCTGTGATGGCCTTATGAACAGTAAAGAGATTCTCTTCTGGTTTTTCTGGGAAAGAAACCCACAAAGATTAATATGTTAATATTTAAGTAGTTCAGGGTTAATTAAATATGATCATTTTAGATTCTAACTAGGGAGATTCTTTTATTTTTAACTGTGATCACTTTAATGATTTTACTCTATTGCCTCATTTCTTCATTGGTTCCTTTTAAATTATAAACATAATGATCTTCCTTTAATATCTAAAGTATATAACCATCATTCAGACATGTTAAGGTATATTTAGAAGGAAAGCTTGAAGTTCTGAATTTTTTTTTGCTCAAATAATAATGGGCTGTCTATAATAATAGTAAATAACAGTAGTTAACATTTAACCAACCTTCACAACCAGCCAACAAGTGTCTGCACCATTCTTCTGCCTTCTACTGAGAAAACTAAGTCTTTGAGAGGCTAGGAAAGTTGTCCAGGGTCACAGAGTTACGAAATGCATAAGTCTGGGTTTGACCTGTGGCAGAGGTTTAGTCCTTGCGCTATGCCCAGTAGGAAAAGGGACCACAGGATTGGGAAGATATACAGCTTATTCCTGTCCTAACAGTTTATCATAAAAATCCTGAGTGAATTTACAAATCAAATCAAGCAAATTGAAGAGAAGGAAAATGTTTTACCTTTTAGAATCTTCTCATCCATGGACCAGTTAAGCATTTTCTTCCCTCGTAGTTTTTCACTTTCCTCCCCATTTCCTTCTGTGAGTGAATCTGCAAGACTGGGTTCTACCCTGAGGTAGGGTGGGGTGCTCCCCACATCACTGACTGGCTCATGGGCCTCAGTGATCAGTGGTTTACCATTTCCAGGTGGTATGTCCCCGTTACACTCCACCTGACTGAATGCCACTGGAGCATCTGTCATGATGTGCAGTTGAGTCCAACTTAGAGCTCTGAGGAAACTGAGCAAGCAGATCCTGGATGATACGTTTCGTTGCCTTCAAGTCCTATAGTTCCAACTCCTACTCCAAGAACATTTACTTTAGTGCATAATGACTAGCTTCTTTTTTCTACAGGTGCCCAGATGGAGCTTGGAACGAAAGCAATAGGATTTGTCAGATTTGCCACCAGCCCACTAATCGGCCAACCGCCACTTTCTTTGTTGCTTAGCAGTCCCACTTGCAGAATTAATGGCTGCCTTTTGATTTACATAAACAAACAGTCTGAGGCAATCAGCCTTTTGTGTTGGCGTGTAGATGGGAACTTTCAGTTTGTCAGCCCCGCTCTGGGAACAGAGATTTCTGTCCCTCTTCATAATGGTCCTTTGTCATTTTCCTTGTAACAGGAGCTGCCATTGTTCCACAGCTTTAATCCAGAGAGAATGACCACCTTGAGGCATATTAGTTCTGTGTAACCAGCTTAACATTTCCAAAGAGATTTTGCTCAAGTAAAACCTCAGCTATTTTGTAGGGAACAATGGCATCGTTTCTTATTTATTCAAGAATAAGACAGCTTATCAAAAACCTGTAAACAAGACAACTTTATTAGAAGAGTTCTGGCATCAGGTCTCCTGGTATGCTTTCAGGAGCCCAAAGAAAAAACCTAAGAAAAAACAAACAAAAAGTTCTGCCATCTTTCTAATACCAAAATGTTACAATTTTAGAGCAATTCATTTGGTCTACAGCTTCTTATCCTTTAGTTTATTTATAGCTATTGAAGCCCAACCCATCCTTTAAAACGCTAATATAATTCCCTCCATGAAGTTTCGCCTCCCTCGATCAGAAACGATCGCCTCCCTGCTGATGGTGCATGATGCTGGTAAAATGCTATAGCACCAACACAGTCTGCCCTTTGGGGAAACAGGTGATAATGCAAAACATCTGCCACCACCACACCTTCCTAACAAGAGGAACTTAATTCCTTTTTTTATCTCATACAGTACCAAGTGACCCCAGAGCCTTTGCCATGCTACCCCTCCCAACCCAGCCCCCACCTCCTTGGAAAGCCTTCTTGTCCTCAAGGCAAAACCCCTGTCTTAACCAGCTCCTTGAAGTCTCAGCTCTGAGAATGACATAACGTTGTTTAACACGTTCCTTGACCCACAGGATTAAGACAGGACTCTAGCATGCACTACCTTTGTCCTTCACAGTGCTCCTCATGGTTGTTACTAAACTAGCAATGGCACCAGTAGCTACAGTGCCTCATTCACCAACTAGATCGGAGCTTTCTCTGGGCAGGACCCATGTGTACTTTTAGTACACATGTCCCCACTCTAGCATCTGCCTTGAAGTAGGTAAGTACTCAATAAATAAATATATATATATATATATATATATATATATATATATATATAATCAAATACATTTTACTCCCAAGAGAATACATTTCAATTCTTTTCTAATGAGCAGAAGAAAGGTTGGATAGTAATTGTAAATTTATCACCTTTAAAATTGTATCTAGGATGAGCTCGTTCATTAAGGTCTATGTCAGGAATGACAAATACATGACTGTCCCATCCTTCTCCCAGTATCTGTAAGACGTCTCTAATAGACCCTAGATGTCTCTCCCTTGTCATCACCAGTGCTTCTCTCCCCAACATGCTGATGACTTGTTTGTGTAGGAGAGGGAAAATAATTTTCATCCTACTCCTCTAAGTTCTTGGCTGAGGCCCTGTAATAAAAGACAGAAAAACAAGAGAAAAAGGAACAGAAGTTTATTAACATGTGTACTTCACATATTCATAGGAGATACTCAGGGAAACCAAGTAACTTCCTGAGATGGCCCAAGCTACTACCAACTGAAATATCACTTTCCACTAAAGATGAAAGGAAAAAAGGTTTTAGGAAGAGGGTGGGGGCATTACAAGGGATCACCAGGAAAGGCAGAGTGAACAGGGCCAGGTTTGTTACCCACTGTGTTATGCCTTCTCCACTGATAGAGTCTTCTTGTGGTTTAGGGCCATCCTTCTTTTGCTGGTACAGAGAGGGAGACACACTTAAAGAGAGTTTCTTTATAAATGTTCATTTCCCACACAAAAGGGGGATGTTCCTAAACCCTCAGCTTTGTTTTCTAGTGTCTGCTGTTTCTCAAAATCAATTAGCTCAACATAATCCTTATGCCAAAGAGATATATTTTGGTTGGGTGGCATAGCCTGTTACCCTTCATTCGTTTGTTCTTAATTTGTTTGACAAGCACTTATACAGAACTTATTATGTGTCATGTGCTATTCAAATTGCTTCACAAATAGCAACACTTTTGATCTTTCTAAAAGCCCCGTAAAAAGTAAAGTAGAGAGAGATTAAGGAAACTGTTCAAGTCACACAGCTAGAAAGACTACTAGTGAGCATCTGCAACATGGTGCCATCCAGCCTGGGTGCTTATGTGCTCCAGCTTGATGAATTACCCACCTTGGCAGCAAAGTGTACCAGAAGCAGTTGTGGCCAGGAAAAGTTAGCAGATTGCCTGAGGAGGTAGCAAGCCCTTTCCAAGATAGATGTCCCATCTGCTGAGGACACTGTTGGGAGGGCCAAGGAGTTTCCTATCACCAGCGATAAAAGGATTAATCCCTTAATTCAAAGACCAGAATCTGAAACTTGAGAGCCAGGTCAGTCCATCCCACTGACGTGGAGTGGAAACAGCCCAGGGTCTAAGGCAGTGAAGAAAATACTTCATGGAGTTAGATGGAAAAATACAGAAACCAACATCAAAGCCAGGAATACTGGATTGTGAGAATCTTAAGAACAGGAAGTGACACCGGTCCTACCCAATGCCCAGCAACACACATGCAGAGCAATGCTCGCATTCACCTTAAAGACACGTCTCCAGTCCCTCTCATTTCCCTGGAGACTGCCAAGCACTTCAGTTCCAGCTCACAGCAGAGTGTACAGGTTCAGTTTATCTCTCCCGCACCTGGATTTCTGTGGCCTTATAGCAGCCTGCAATTTATGCCTCTGCCTTAGAGTTTATGGGAGTTTAATTTTTTAAGTATCTTCTTTTCTCATATCATGCTTTCACATGTTTTTCCTGGCATTAGAATTACTTTATATTTTGAAAAATAGAGAAATGACCCATATTTCAGCAGCGTCAGCTAACCAGTGTATTCCCCTCTACAAAAAGCAGTGTTGCTACACTGTCCTGCAGAACAATGGGGGTCAGGTGACTGGTTCGCAACATGCACTCTTTTTCCTGAAAGCAGTTGACAACACAAAATATATTTAGCACCACGATGAGTCTACCCAGCTAAAAAATAAAACATAGGGCATTTTATCTACAAAGAGGTAAGTTACCACCCATTGTTTATAACAACCTATTATCTGTATGTTAAAGTATGTTAGAGTTTGCCTTAATGATCCTTAATTCAAACACCATTGTATAATCTCCACTGCTTGAAACATGACTTTTTTAGATGATTTACTGAATTTTTTCTAGTTATTATATTTGAGTTAATATGGCATCGTGCCATGTGACAATGATCAAATCTATAACAAAATATGATAATGATAGGATTTTCATGTGGGAATGTGAAGTATCAAAATAAAAGTATGTAAATAATCTACATTCCACTTGTCAAACTCCAAATGATTAATGTTAAGGCTATATGGGGCCCAGAAACAAGATTTAAGGAAAAGTCATAAGCTCCTGACCTTTAATAATATGTGAAAAGTCAAGCCACAAGTGAATGTTATAGTTCATACAGCCAAAAGCACTGAGTTAAAAACTGGAAATATATTTAGAAAGTGGGTTTTTTTATCCTGGCTTCTTGGAGCCAATGTTTACACAAGCAGATATTTGCATAGTTGAGACAGGGCTATTGCATCCATCAGGGTTGATACAAAAAGGTAGAACCAGTAAGAGATCTACCTCTCTGAAGGGATTTGATCTTACACAATTGTGGCTGCTGCTGCTGAAGTTGTCTTTTTAAGTCTGTTGTCAAGCCTGCTGTCAGAACTTAAAGTCTACAGGGCAGGAAGTAGGGAGGGAAAATGGATGTTTAGGGCAAGAGCAACCTGGAGAGAGAAGAACAAGGCCGGACACACAGCGACAAACTAAACGTTGTGTCATTTCTCACTGCCTCTGACTGCAGTGGTATCAGAGTCCTCCGGGGGAAGTGGTCCCCTTGTCAGGAGCCAGGGCTCAGAGAAGCTGAAGGAAGTTGCAGGGAAGGGGGAGCACTTGCAGGCCCGATGCGGCCGCATGCGCAGGTGAACCCGCAGACAGGCCAGAACCAGCCCGGGTGAGCTACAAAACAGCTCATTTCTGCCCTCCCAGCCTCACCCAGGAACGCCCCTTTTAGCCCACCTGTCTCCACAGTAAGCCATAGAATCTTCCGTAGGAAGCAGAGTAATGCATCAAGGAAGTGTGTAACCCTGAATGTCCCTCAGGGGATACAATAATCTGAAGTGTTTCACTTAAGGGATTAACATCACAAGTTGAAAAGACAGAAATATAAAATGTCATAACACAGTGAAACCAATCATGTATTTTCGTTTAGAAACAATAACTGCCTGCCACTTAGTATAAATTGAATTAAGCTGATTGCCTTGTGCCATCTCAGTGCCTTGTGTTTACACTTATGCCTGGTGTGAAGCAACAGCTGTCATTTCGGTGATACAAGATCTCAGAGTAAAGGGTGGTTTCTCCCAAAAGCCAATGAATAGCACATCAGTTTTAAGAATTTACTGTGACAGAATGTGAACATTCAGCATGCTTTTCAAATTTAGGGGTGAGTCATGTTTATGTGCATGTGTGGAGGGGGAGGAGGTTGTCAATCATGTCTCTAAAACCAAAGCCTTTCTTAGACCCCAGGAACAGTGTATCTGTCTGTGGTCCTAGAACCCAGCGAGTTGCTGCACATCAGGAAAGCACTGGGAGAAAAAGGCTGACAATGTGGTGAAGATTTGTGGCGAGTAGGGCTCTGAAAGGAGCCAGTGTAACTCCCTGTGGCCCAGACAAGCAGAGGTGAGGGCGGGGGAAGGATAGCACTAAGCAAGAATTAAGAAGTTGTCCTCTCAAATGGAGGACAAATGAACATTACCATCAGTGACCCCTAGAGTGGTCAAGAGGATGGACTCAGGCAGATGACCTGGAGTGGAATCCCAGCTCTGCTGGTCTGGGACCTCGGGTGAGGCCTGTTTGCATCACAGAAAGTTCCAAGTTGGCTTCACAGGTATTTGGGTCCAAGGATTTAAACAATGTCACAGGTAACCTTT